TAAGAAGGAATTCTGCCTCAAAATGTAACATAGAAATCCTGCCTGAGTTTCCAGCCTGCTGGCCTGCCCTACACATCCCACACTTGCCAGCCCCCACGATATACAATTACATGAGATATTTCCTTAAAATATATATCTCCTATTCATTCTGTTTCTCTGGAGAATTCTGAGTTATACACCTGGTTTGAGGTCCCAATAGGAGAAGGGGACCAGCCCCCCAGGGAAAGACCGGCCCCTCCCCAGGGCATGGCAGGGAGTTCTAAGGCACATTGCCACTGGACAGAGCTGGGGCTGATGTCCAGCCATGGGGCACCTTTCCTGGCTCCAGTCACTCAGGAAAAACAGGGCTGAGGTGAGCACTTGAGGTCAGAAGCAAGTCAGTACTCCCATCCCTAGTCCCCAGGCTCTCAAGGAGGTGGGGAGGCCCAGAGTCGGCCCCAGTCTGAGGATGTCTCCTGCCTCTCCCACATGCCTCTCCAGCTCTGTCATCCTTGCCACACCCCTGCATCCAGAGGGACCTGGGCACCATCTCCACACCAGCCCCTCTGAGCCTCTGGCCCCCACCCCCTGCTGGCACCACTGGCAGCTTCAGAGCTGCCATTTCACCCCACAGCAGGTCCCACCTGCAGCCTGGGTTTCAGTCTGCGTGTCCACACACCCAATACAGGTACCCACACCCTGCCCTGATATACAGGTACCCACACCCTGCCCTGATGTGTTCTTACCTCTCTTGGTATGTGGGGTCTTCCCCACATACCTCCCTCCAGGCATATTACCCCTCCTCTTTCTCATTACCTGCCAACTCCCACCCTCCCCCGAGGCCAGCCAAGGCCCAGGAAGCCACCCTGCAGGGTCACGATCCCTCCGCCTCCTGCAGCCCCACCTCTTCCCCCTCACTGCCTGTGTCATTGTCCCACTGCATGGCGCATCTCAGCTATCAGCCACCACTGAGACTAGGCCAGCTGTCCTCTGCTTCTATGTCAGGCCCTGACTGCATCATCATAACCACGCATGAAGCCCCACTTCCCTGAGGCTCCCAGCCAGCCCACTGGGTGTCGAGCAGAGTCCTAGGGCTTCCCCACCGGCCACCAAAGGTTTCCAGGTGCCCTGGATAGCGCTTTTGGCCTCACTGCCAGACATGTTCCTGTCTCTGGTGGGGGAAGACAAATGCAACATCACATACACCTGAGTGTGATCAGAGTTTCTGCGAGCAGAGAACAGGTCCCCATGTGTCTGCAAGCTCTGTTTGTCCTAAGCCTGACCACTACCTTCCTGAGCCAGCTTCCCCACCCATCAAGTGGGCACACAGTATCTGGTTGGCCCTGCTGCCTGCTGTGGGAACAGATACACTCACGAAATCCTCTGGAGGGTCAATGCAGCCCACACATTCCAGGTCAGTATGTTGTCCACTGGGTTATGTCATGGTCCCCTAC